AGGAAGACAAGCAGCCTCATACATATGAAGAAAGACTTAGGAAAACTATGGATACTTCAACAGTCATTTGAGACAGCTTGGAATGAGATTTTGTGTGAGTTCCATGACAGGTAGGAATTTTGTTATATATGTTTTGAGATGAAACTTAGAAAACACTGTTGATCACATTCCCTTTATGCAGTTTTTGCTACTTGCTTAGTCTTTGTGTGAGCTCATTATACACACACACTGAAACACTTTCTGTCTGTTTTTTTTTTCCTTTCTTCCAAGCCTCCCTTCCTTCTTCTGTTATGCTTAACTTACTTGTCCCCCTTTTTTCCAACTGCTGTTCCCTGTCTGACCTGCCAAATGGAAAAAGGCTATTGCTTATTATAACTGACAGACTATTGGTAGGTGGTAGATTTTGTCCAGAGGAGAGTGACGTTGACTAAAAAGCACTGCAGAATACACCCAGGGCAAATGCTTTACAACTGAAAAATACATAAAAGCAGCTAAGATGTTCTCTAACAAGTTTGCTTAAGCTTTGGTGTAGGGCCTGCAAAAGTCAAGTCATGTAAAATACACATTCTGGTTTATGCAGTCCAGAAATACACACAATGAACTTGCTTTTCTCCCTTGACTGCTGGCTTTTAACTTCAATAAAAAGTTTTCCTAAATTAGCAGTTCTATCTTCCCGTTACCTATTTCTGTCACTATTTTATTTAGTTGTAAACGCTCAAACTTTCTAATCTGGCTGAAATCAAAAGGGGGCAAAATCCAGATTCAGTCACCAAAACAACTAGCCTGATTATACTGGGGCTACTTCTGTGTCCTGACAATCTTCATCGCGCATTTCTCATTAGACTGCTGGTTTATTTTAGGTTGGACAAAAATGAACCCTATTCTCTTCTGTTTTACATCAGCAAAACCCAAAAAGCTGTTGGTACAGCACCTTTGCAAAACAACTGAACTAAGACTCAAAACTGTTATCTTTACATTAATGATGATATTTTTCCTTATACCCTGGAAATAATGCATGGAGGCAAGTGCCTCCCTTTTCTATTGCCTCTTCTTTAGTGCCATTTCTTGCCTACACTTTTCTTATTATGTGCCCATCTCCTTTTGTTGCTCTTACTTTCAGCCCACCTAATTTTTTATATGTACCTGTATCATCAGAACTTGTTGTAACAGTAACCAGGTGATGAAGTGAGTAACATTCAGGCTAAGACCAAAAGACCTAGTAACTGTATTGTTCCTTAACTTTCTGTGCTACATACAATATACACGTCATGGCTACAGGAATTCAATAATATTTTTGAATTCTGCAGGTTGCTCTTTTGCTTTGAAAAAATTGTCAAATCTACCAAAGGTAAAAGGCATATTTTCTATTCTTTAAGACAATAGCATAAAATTTGGCAAATAGCAAATTTAACACAGATCCAGTATCTCCACGTTTATTAAAATATAAATAAATGAGGTTCTTCCTGGGTGCATCTGCATGAGACACTTACTACAGTTGCTTAATTGGCTACATGAGTGGTGCTATTAGGCTGCAGTGAACTACTTAACTCTACTGTAGGATAGTACTGCCCAGCACAAGTACTATTCTACAACAGAGCTATTTACTCCACTGCAATGCATGTGTAGATGGTGACCGGGGCTGGCTGGGGCATAAGGGTACTACAATGGGGGCTTGCCTGCCAGCTAGCTCCAAACTGTAGCATCCTTGGGTCCCAGCCAGCCCCTCTGCCACACACTAAGCCAGAGGGGAGCAGCTCCGGGCTGGCAGGCTAACCACTGGGACCCTCTGCCAGCTGATGCTGTGCCATCCCAGCTCAATGTGCTGCAATCATGGGTGCACGTGAAGGTGCTGTGTGTGAGAGCAATAAACTCCAGCATGAACTGTACCAGAGTTTATTGCTTCACATAAGTATCATGTATAGATGTGCCCCCTGAGAACTAAACGTTCTCCTAATTGACTGAATACATCTGATATAATGTTTCAGTCATTTTCAATTAATTTAATCTTCTAATTTCAGATTGCTCTTGTTACTAGATTGGAAAGTTTGAAGGCACTGCTGAAATGAACAATGCTAGAAGCACAAATGTTAGGGTTTTTTCCCTTAAATGAGAAAGTGCTTTTAATAAATTAAACCCTGGTGCTGGTGAAACAAGCAGCTACCTATCTGGAAATGAGCACCAAGTGTCAATAACCAAAAACAAATAAATGAAAGAGAACCCAAAAAATGTAGGATTGTTACCTATGTTGTGAAAGATAGAGCTAAATTTGGTGAAAAAAAGCTGATGAGATAAGACAGCTGACATTATCTTTTTTTTAGACTGACTTACAGTAACTAGTGTTCAACCAGTTTGGTTTTTATATGGCCTTGATAGATATATCAACTACAGCAAATGAATCTGCTTTGCAAATAGAAACCATTACCTTTTGTTGACTGTGAATATGAAATGGAGTTAAAAAAAAGAAACATACCATGTTCACACAGAACACAAAAAGAACTATATCAGGGGCATCAGGGAAGGTGGAATACTATAACAACACATATTATTATTGTTATATTATTCCACCCACCTTAATGGAGAACCCTTCGGTGTAGCTACTCCATAGCCTTTCGAATCCAGATTTCCTCCCACTTTCATGGTGTCACAAGGTTTTCGCTGTTCAATGTATTCGTTCATGGTGGACTCCAGGAGGAAGGCAAACTTGCCCTTGGATTTACGGACACGGGCTACTCCCTCAGCTGTAGTCCGGGTGAACACTGATGGCTCTGCAGATTTCATGTAGGTCCACATCTTTTCATATACTGCAATTTTTGATCTCTGGAAAAGATTAAAAAAAAATTAGATACATGCACCAAAAATGTCAAAGCATCAAGCATGTCACAACTCATAAGAGAAAATGACTTAAATTTTATCCTTCAGGTCACTGATGTTTAGTTAATTTTACCTTGATATGAGATTTCCTTTAGCTGCTCAGCTTACTTAAAAGAAACAAAAAATAACAATAGTAATATAACAACAAGCATTAATGTAAAGCTTCTAGTGGCCTCTGGGAACCTTAATAAAATAATTACAGGCTTTGCCCTGAATTTTCAGCTACCCCAGTCAGTTTACATTGTTACAGTGGTATAAAAGGGTGTTAAGGAAATTATGTCACTAATACATGCCCCTAATAAACTAGTTGGGCAAAACAGCTCATCCACAAATACTGGATTGAACCCTGAAGTCTTACTTAGGTTTCACGCTCTCTTCAAACTCTCTTGAATGTTCTGCTTTAGTAACAGCTGAGTAGGCACTCTGTGATATAACATACAATATATAATATAAGCAATGGATTCAGACAAACAAAATATTTTTTAGATTTGCTTTTAAACATATGGTCTATGCTGTGGGTGACAGAGTTGTGGAGTTAGTGACCCTTATCCTAGAGGGTCTTATATCCTATCATTTCAAGATTTTAATTCCATGGCCCTAAAATAGAAATGTATAGCTCATTATGCAGATCTGTCTCACCAGTGAGTCTTTTCTTTGGCAATCCCTCACAGTTGAGGATGACTGTCTTATCTGTGTGTCCAAAGATGGCTGTGATGCCTATCCAGGATCAACAGACTTGAATGCAGCTTGGACATGCGTTTCTGTGTGGGGTGGGTAGCGCTGGATTCTTGATTTGGTCTGTGACATGCTGGTTCTGCCACTCCTGCTTTTCCATCTCCTGTTGTTGTTAGGTTTCAATGTACTGAGATCCCTATGACAGACTCTTCCTCCATTTGGGGAGGTTCTGGGTGATAGTTTCCCACAAGTTGACACTGCTGTTTTAAGTTGGCCTTAAGGATGTTCCTGAAGCTCTTTCTCTTCCCTCTTGAGCGTATGCCTTGGCTGAGCTGGGAAAATAAACTTGCTTCAGGAGTCTGGAATCAAACATCTGGACGATAGGCTGGGCCAATGACATTAAAGTCATTAAATGTCCTCATTAAAGTCAGATGATCATTGCCTCAGTACTTGTGGTGTTGCTAATGTTGGTGCATCTATCTTCCCACTGAATTTGGACAATCTTCCACAGGAAACACTGATGGTATTTCTCCCACAAGTTTAGATGTCTCTTGTGTGTTGTCTATGTCTCTGTTCCATGCAGCATGGTGAGGCTCATGACTGCTTGATAAACTATAAGCTTGGTTTTGGATCTGATGTCACAATGTTTGAATACCTGTTTCTTTAGACATCAAAAGGCTGCACTTGCACATCTGAAGCAATGTTGGATTTCTTTGTCAATGTTAGCCTTCTGCGAGAAATGGTTTCTGAGGTACAGGAAATACTCATGGTTCTTCAGAGTCTCATTGTGGGTCTGGATCACCAGAGCTGAGGACTGTCCATTAGGAGCTTGTTGGTGGAAGACCTTAGTCTTCTGAATGTTAAGTGTCAGACCCATCTTTTTGTATGCCTTGGTAAAGATGTTGATGATTGCTGAAGCACACACTACAGCATCATCACTGTACTGGAGTCCAATGATTGAGGTAAGGGTAGTCTTGGTTTTGGCTCAGAGTCAGCTGAGGTTAATTAGCTTACCATCCATTCGGTAGTTTAGCTCTGCTTTGGCAGGAAGCTTGTTGGTGGTCAAAGAATATTGAGAAGACTGTTGGAGTGGTAACACAGCCTTGCTTAACTCCCATTTTAACCTCAAAGGCTGTGTCCAGACAAGCATGGATGTGTGCTATGTGGCACCACAGACCCACCTGTGGCACTACGCACTGCACATGGAGTTTTTTTTGACTGCAGGAGATCCCAGGGTCAAAAAAACCCACGCTGAAAAAAACAAGGTAACATACATGGCGGCAGTGCGCGCTCCCCAGAACCGGAGTCTGGCCAGTCAGAGCCATGCTCTGGCTGCTGGCCAGGCTTTCTGCTGTGGCTGCAGCCCTGGGAGACCCCAGGGACCCCAAGTAAGGCTGCTGGGACCAGCAAAGTTCCTGGCCCCAGCCACCCCTACCCCACCCATAGTAGCCTGCCATACACCAGAAAATGTGTAGCACGAGTCGTTCCCCAGGGACAAGTAGCAGTGTCCCTGGAGAAACAAACACCCATGCTCATCTGGATGCAGCCAAAGGGATCTGTGATAAATCCATTACTGAGAATCACTGCTCGCATTCTGTCATGGAGCAAGCAGAGAATGGTGTCAAATTCTAGTGGGCATTCATACTTCAGAAGGATCCCCCACAACATTTCTCAGCTGACATTCAAAACCTTTAATGAGATCAAAGAAGGCCAGGTAGAGACGCTTATTTTGGTCCCAGCATTTGTCCTGCAGCTGGTGTACTGTGAAGATCATGTCAATGGTGCCTCTGATGCCCTAAACTCATGCTATAGATTCTGGGAGGAACTCTTCAGCAAGTGGAAGGTGATGGTTCAGGAGGGTTCTCACAATGATCTTTCTAGGGTGGACAGCAAGGCAATTCTGCAGTCAGACTTGTCTTTTTTCTTGAAGATTGTCACAATCATGGCATCTTTGAGGTTGTCTGGGATTTCTTCATCATTCCAGATCTTTAAGATGAGGGCATGAAGCAGTGATGTGACCTCTTCTCCTTCCTGGTTAAAGATTTCAGTGGGGATTCCATCTGTTCCAGATGCCTTGTTGTTCTTCATCTGCTTGATGGCTTTCCTCACCTCATCAAAGGTTTGAGAGATTCTGAGATCTTCTCTGGATATTGCGGGATGGAGTTGAAAATACTCTTGTCAGCAACAAAGTCTCAATTGAGAAGGTCTTTAAAATGCTCCTAACAGGCATTGATGGCTCCTCTTTCCTTGATCAGGTCTCCTCCATCCTTAGGTTACAAAGGTGTTGGGTCTTTGAGTGCTCAAACCAGAGATGGCTTTGGCGGCACTGAAGAAACTGTGGGTGTCAGCAAGATGTTGAATCTCCTTATCCTTGTCTTTCCATCATTTTTTCTTCATATTGTGGATCCTCATTTGGACCTCTGTCTTGGCTTGTTGGAGATTCAATTTCTTTTCCTTAGAGTTGGTATTGTTTTGCAAGGCACAAAAGGCTTTGGGCTTGCAATCAATCAACTCTTGGATCCCCTGGTTGTTCTCATCAAACCCGTCTTGATGTTTTCTCACAGGGAATCCAAGTGTCTCTTTACAGGTGCTGCTGGCAGTAGCCTTGAGGGTACCCCATGTGCTGCTGATACTCTCCCTCAGCATAATTACAAATAAGAATGCTCATAAATAGATTAAAGTGTCACTTGTAAATATTATATCTTGAGAAAGAAAGAAAAAAAGGTGGATTTTTCTTGGAACCTGTGGTGTTGAGATTGTTGTCAAGATTCAAGCTTCACATGCTTGCTATTCACATTCAATAGCTCTATCCATTAATAATATGGATGCCTCTAGTCAAACCTAGCAAATGAACAACTCTTAAAACATGGCAGCTGAACCTAACGTTGAGTTATTTAGAAGCACCTATGAGCAATCTCTTCAGTGTGGAAGGAGAAAACTCTTTTTAATGAAGGTAGAAGTTTGTCATACTCTTGATCCAGCTCTCATTTGAAGCAGTAAAAATTTAAACTGAAGCAGAACTATATTTTTGGGCTTGATTCTGAAAGATATTAAGTACTCCTTAGAAGCACTGAACAGTCTAAGGCACCATTCACATTAATTACACAAGCATATGTTTCACCTTAAGTCAATGAGACCTGCATACATGCCTAAGGGCACATTTACACATGTGCTTTGATGTGTAGTGGGGTTACTATTTTACTGCACATTAAAGTGTTGTGTTAAAAACCATGCTATTATGCTAATGCACAATAAAATAGGGGACTGCACATTAAGCATCACTTCAAAAGTATGTGCTTGCATTACTGTGCATTAGGGCAGCCTAATGCACATTTATTTAGTACTTCACATTGGATGTACTAAATGTAATGTGCATTAGGAAAGCTCATTAATGCACATATAGATAAGCCCTAAATATTTTTCTGAATAGAGCACTGCTGAAGCAAGTCCTCAAGTTCCACTGACCTCAGTGGGAGCTAAGAACACTAAACCACCTTGCACCTTGTTCTATGGTAGGCAGAGTAGGTAGAATTTAGTAGAATTCACAGGAAAATCTACAATTAGAGCTGTGAGGATTTACTTAAATTAAATTGGTTTAAAAAGGTTGGTGCTGAATTTCTGTAGAAAACAAAGCAAAACAAAAACCTCCCTAAAGCCCTTATCTGTACTAATTACTGGATGGCTGTTGTGGTAATTAGAAATTAACTTGGACACCAACAAGATACAAGCTGCATAGGAAACATGTAAACATCCCCAGTATTAGAATATTTGTCAAGATTTGCTAACGAGGAGAATTTAGCCACCATTGTCTATTGGAGATATCATGTGAATCTCTTTGCTGTTTTCACTTTGTACCTATGAATCTTTTTACCCTTCATGGGAAAAAAAATACTGAGAAGTAAGCAAATCAAATGATCACAATTACCTATAGAGCTAGTCACATTGACATAACAAAGTCCTGTTCTTTTAACCCTGATTTCAATTGCACTACCATATGGTATGGTAAGTATGGGGTTACTTTATATCTATACCATCATTACTGGAAGTAGAATCTGTTTCTGATTCACTAGTCTATTTTTCCAATTTTACACTGGTGTAATGCTACCAATTTCAGGTATACCAGCTTAAAATCAAAGAATAGCAGTGGTTAATCAGACATCACCTCAAGAATGCTGAAATTGTCCCACCTACTTCCACTTCCGATCATTTATGAAGTTTTAACAACCATACTGTAGCTTCTTCATAAAGCAAAAAATAAAATAAAGGTTTCT